GTGCATAGGTCTCATCAAAGTCAATTCCTTCTTGTTGATTGTAGCCTTTAGCTACAAGCCTAGCTTTGTTTCTAGTGATTATACCATTTTCGTCGAGTTTGTTTCTGAAAACCCATTTAGTACCGATAATAGAATGATTACGTGGTCGAGGCACAAGCTCCCAAATGTCATTACGTTTGAATTGATCCAACTCTTCATGCATGGCCATAGTCCAGTATTCATCATTAATGGCATCATCTATGGTTGAGGGTTCTATTTGAGAGACAAAAGCCATATGATTAACTAAATTACCTAATGAGCTACGAGTAGTTACCCCTTTTGAAATTTCACCGATAACATTGTCTAGGGGATGATATCTTGAAGTTCTCCATTCGGGTGGTAAATCATTTGCAATATGCTCATCCTTCTTGTCCTCAACTTTTTCTCCAACATCTTCTTGTTTTTCAGATTTTGTCTTACTAGATTCACCTTCTTCAAGATTCATTTTCTCAAGAGAACCTTTATCACACAATTGACTAATGCTAAGCAAATTGTGCTTGAGGCCTTTGACCAACAACACATTTCCAATTTCGGAAGCTTTGTTTTTGCCAACAGTTCCGGTTCCAATGATCTTTCCTTTGTTGTTGTCGCCAAATATGACATTTCCACCATCAATTGATTTTATAAAAACAAATTTGGATGCATCTCTAGTCATGTGCTTGGAGCATCTGATATCAAGGTACCATAGTACACTTGATACCTTCAAGCACGCCTGTACAATTATTTAATTAGGAGTTTTAGGTACCCAAATCTTTTTGGGTCCTTGAGGGTTAGTATGAACATCATAAACATCAATGTGTGCCCTCTTCCTATCCTTAGCAATCAATCTAAGCTTCCTAAAACATACATGAGCTATGTGTCCAACGTGATCACAGAAATGACAAACAACCCTAGGATCATACATATATCTATATGGACTAGAGAGTCTCCAATGTGTCCTAAAGTTGATAGGTTGTCTAGGTGCATTCCTTACATTCCTAAAGTTGCTAGGTTGTCTATCTCTAGGAAATTGTCTAGGTTGTCTAGTGAACCTATGAGCAACGTAACTCATAGACTGACTAGGTTTTCTCATCCTAGAAGTAGTGGGGGTAAATGCTACTATAGGTTTAGTCGTCTTAGTGTTACTACCAATTTTATGAACTATATTACTCCTATCCTTAGAATCCTCCAAAGGTCTTTCTCCTTTTTTAACGAAATTCACCTTTTTAAAAACTTTAGATTTATAGCCTAGTCTATTTTTATTGTATTGTCCTTGTTGAACTATAAAGTGCATATCTTTGCTAGCCTTATTATATTTTCCTAAATGTTCTTGCAATCTAGCTATCTCTTTTTCATGGGTGTTACATTGTGCACAAGGAGTGTCAATACTAACCTTGCCAAGTTTCTTATTTTCAAGTTTCAGCAATTCCATCTCTTTATTAAGTTCAATTATTTGAGCTTCTAAAGATGTGACATTTTCTTTGGCAAGCTTAGTTTCTTTGGTGGATTTGAGAAATTCACCATAGAGATCACTAAATGCACTATGTAAATCATCCAATGAAAAGCAATCACTTGAAGACGATAAAGGAGTTGAAAAAGAATTAGAAGATACCTCTTCCTCGGTAGCCATTAGACAAAGATTTGTTGTTTCTTCGTCATCATCACTTGTTTCAGAAGATGAATCATCATTCTCCCATGAAATGTATGCTTTTTGCTTCTTCTTGAACTTCTTGTCCTTCCCTTGCTTCAACTTAGGACAATAAGGCTTGATGTGCCCTATCTCACCACATTCATAGCATTTAGGTGGTGTAGCTTTCTTGCCATTGTCTCTTCTTGGCTTGAAGCTTTTCTTGATAAACTTGTTGAAGCGTTTGATGACAAGTGCAAGTTCGGGATTATCTTCTGAATTAAGTGATTCATCATCGTCTTCTTCATTTTCCTCTACTACTTCTTTGGTGGCTTTCAATGCTATAGATTTCCTCCTATTGTCTTCACCACGTAGATGAGGAGTAGTAGTTTCATATGTGAGTAGTTTCCCACGAAGAGTATCATAAGTTAAGACATTGTAATCTCTTCCTTCAGCTATGGCATCTCATTGGCGGATTTGCATCTTGATATCTTCCTATAATCATCAGGGTTGACTGCACAATAAAGATAGTTGATGGCTTTGGCATTTTGCATGACGTTCTTCTTGTCGTGATCATCATATTCGGACTCAAACTTGGGAACACGAATTCCATCAACAATGTTTGCGGGGGTAGTGTCTCCATGCTTGATTACCATCCATGAGTCGAAGTCATTTGATTGTATGAATATCCTCATTCTTTTCTTCCAATATGTATAATTTGTACCATCAAAGAATGGAGGACGTGTAGTAGATAGTGATTCAGATACACCAGCTTGAAATGTTCTTCCGGCCATGATCTAGATTTCCGGTGGTAAAGCTTTGGAAATGCAACTAGGCTTTGATACCAATTGTTGAACAACTTACGCACCTCTAGAGGGGGGGGAATAGAGGTGTTCTTTAAAAATCAAAACTTTTGGAAGATAAAACAAAAGTTCGCAGGATTATGTCAACCACAAGAAGACAAAAATGAAGAGAAGGAGCAACACACGATGTATACTGGTTCGGCCTAATGCCTACGTCCAGTCCCCGAAGAAAATGTGCCCGAGAGTCCACTAATTTCGTCAAACTTAACGGAGTTTGACAATCCGATTACAACTCGAGAACTTGAATTCACAAGCCTCTAAAACTTGAACTCGAGAACTTGATTTCACAAGACTCAGGATTTCTCTCCAAAACTTGAATTATAACAACTTCAAGTTTTTACAATTCACACACCTTTACAAAACAAAGTGCACAGCGAAAATACTCTTTAAATTAAGAGTGGATTGCTGTAGAATACAAGATCTTATAGAGTATGACACACTAGTACTTTCCAAAACTCAAGCAGATATTGATTTCTTGAAGAATCGCTTGGAAGTATTGTTGAAGGATCAAAAGTATGAATTGAAAAAGCTTAGTTTTTTTATAAAGAATATATTTGAATGGATATATATTATGTTCTTCAAGCAAAAGAGCCGTTGTATGGAAGTTATGGAAGAAGAGGATGGATAACTTTTTTAAAAACTGACAAATCTGCAGTTCAAACTGATGACTTATTCGAATAAACTCAGACTTATTCGAAGAGATCAGGGTGAAAAACACAGACTTATTCGACTAAGTGAAGACTTATTCGATTAAGTCACTGCAGGATTGAAGAAATGAGCTTCAGGGCTTATTCGAATAATTTGCTAACTATTCGAATAGGACAGAGTTGAGGACTCTAACTTATTCGAATAAAACAAGGGTTATTCGAATAGTGCACTGCGAAACCACAATTTGAAGGGTTTTTGGAAAATATTTTCAAGGAGGGAAAAACAACTAATGTGCCATACACTTTAACAAATGCTAAGACCTAAACGAAGACCAAAAACACTATATTTTCACACTTGTCTTGAGATCTAATGCATGATTGTGAAGATCAACATCCAAAGTGCCAAGCCCATGAGATAGTTGTCATTATCAAAACACAAGGGTCAACAATGGATGATTATCAATGATGAACCTACTGATTAATATGATTATTGTTAAAGATTGAACCATGATTAAAATGAATACATTGATGATTATGAAATGATTTGTATTGTTAAGGATATCTAGAAGAACTCTAAGATATATCCATTTGGAATTGATAATGACTATTAAGGATATCTAGAAGAACTCTATGATATATATCCATTTTGATGTTGGTTTCTAATACTATCTTGAAGACCTCTAAGATAGATTAGAAATAGGCCTTGTGGGTATAATTATGAATATTCGGTGGCCTGGGTTAAAACGTACGTACGGGATCCGCAAACCAAACTTGAGGATCACTCGTTTGGGGATACCACCCAACCTGACAATGAGCATTCCGGTGTTTGATTTCTGGTTGACCTAAAGCGAAGGTTAGTTTAAGATTTGAAAAATCTTTTTGAAAATTATATCTTAAACTAGGCCTAGCTTGAGGATTGGATAAAAGTAGCATAGACTAAAATATAGTTTAAGAATTGTTTAGAAATATCTTAAGCTATAATTCATTTAAGGGTTGATAAACATTAAAGAGATGGGCCTTAGACTAAAAATAGTTTAAGAATATTGTTGAATGACAAATGAGAATGCTGGATGTTGAATATTAAATGTTGAATATTGAATGATGAATATTGTATCTTGATTGTTGAATATCTGAACTGAACATTATGTGCATGATATCAAATTATTTGATTATGAATTGAGTTTCAATTTATATGAATGTTCGACGCATTAGACATGCTTACTCAGCTTCAACGCTGAGCGTGTAGTATGTTTTATTTGCTACACGCAGGTAAACAAAAAGAATGAAACAATAGGTCAAAGGTTGAAAACAATTAACTAAAAAGTCAAAACTAGACAAATACTCAGGGACGGAGGTAGTAATTCAAGTTCATTTTTTAAAATTTATACTTCCTAACTTGTAACTAAAAAGTAATCTCCCCTTATACACCAACAATCCCCTATAGATCAATAGGTTTTCATCGCGTTTTTGTCAACTTTGAAATTTAAATTCTATGATTTTCCAAACAACATTTACAATTTGAAATTATGAGATTTCAATTATTAGAATTGAATTCTATTTCCAAACATTCTTTTAGAGTACTCCTTATTTTCTTGGATCGGCTAGCGAAGAAACGAAACATAGTTCTCTTGTGGTTCATCCATCTTAGTTTATTTTATTCGATAATTTTTGTTCGTATGCATATTTTCACCAATTATTTAGTAAAATAAGATATTTTTTGTCATTTTTATTGTGTAAATTTTTTATATAGTTTTAAATGCTGTAATTTGTATTTTTTTACTTTTATACCAATTTATAAATAATATTATTTAAAAAGATAATTTTGTATGTTCTTTCAATAAGTTAGGGGAAAATGCTATTTTAATCCCAATATAAACGTCAATCAAGCATAACCCTAAATCGGGAAGGATGTAAATATGCTGGTCGAGAAGCTAAAACTGAAAAGCTTGGAGAATTTTCGAACAGCATTTCGACTATGTCAGATGTTTATAGTCTTGAAATACATTACAGAGTATTACATTATTGAATATCGATTTCTCAAACGAGAACGTTATGGTTTTCTCCTACTTGCGACAGAAATTTCAAATTCATTCGCTCTAGCTGTCGACGAAACACTGCCATTCAGCTCCAACCGAAGCCATTGAGATCGAATTGCTTGCAGGTCGAAGCCAGATCGATTTCCTCGCCTGTGTTCAGATCAAGATTTGGCCCTAAATTGTGCAATTTATAGTTTTGTGGCATCTTCTCTGCTTCTGCTGATCTAAAATTTAGTTTGTGATCTGAATCCATAGTCCCAGTGTATTCGCAGCTGCTCTTGTCATTCTGTCTTCCTCCTTGAAGTCCGATGCTCATTGTTAAGCTACTGCACTTGGTGTTAAGTGCTTCATTCTTTGCGGGAAGGAACACGGCGTTCTCCTTCGGGTTGCCGCTCCATCTCTGTTCAGTTTGCCGTCTCCTTGTTTCGTTTTCCATGTCCTTGGAATCCATATATGCTCTGAGGTTTAGAAATCCCAATCCCAGCTGGCTATTGTGCAGTTCATGCTCCCTTGAAGATCCTTCGCAGGAGGTTAGACAGCTATCTAGTGAGCAATCTGTGGGTTGGGGAGCTCTTGCTTGTCGTGGACTGACTCCTGGTAGTTCCTTCTCCTCTGGAAATGCCAAGTTTAGGCATTGGTGGGATGTTGTAGATACTAGCTCTGAAAGCTGAACCCTGGATGCATCTAGTCCCATTGTTTCCAAGTTTTGTCTCCCGAGGGTTTCTTGCGCTTTTTCCAGCACAGCCTGTAAGTATTTTCCTTGTGACTCTATTCTAAGCTGTAAATGTCTCTGAACCTATGTCAATTTCATTGGATGTTATTCGAAATGAAGCTAAGATATCTTTGCTGAGCAATTAAACAAGGAGTTGAAAGAGCATCTTGTTTTTGAGCATGTTTAAAACTCCTCGCTGTTAAAAGAGGCTTTACCTCAAGCTGTTCGTGTAGCCTCCGTTGAACTTCAATTTGCATTTGTATTGCTTCACTTATATGTATGCTTCTGAAAAATAAATTGTGTTGATAAAAACCCCTGTTGTATTTTTTGCAAATGAAGTATGGTGTAAGACTAGTCATAGAGTAAATGAACCCTGTAAATGCTATTATGTTCTTACTTATTTGTTTGATGCCCAGTGCTCACATTATTCTTACAATTTTCATTCGCATCATATATCGTGTCTGCTCTTGAGCCTCCTGATGCTGCAATTATTTCCAAACTCATCAAATCAATTGGTTCTATATGTTCTTATTGAAATATATTTGCAGATATATTAATGAGAAAAAAATGTGTTACTTGTTTTATTGGATCCACTATTGGCTTGTTGGTGAAGATTCTTACTGAGTCGGTATTTCTGCTATCACAAATGCAACATGTTAAATTTTATAGCTGGAAGCAAATGATAGAACTTCAAATATATACGCATGTACATATCTGTGGAGAGATGAAGACCTGCCAGAGAGCCTTTATAATGAAACAACATGCATGCATTGAAGCTTCATGTGCTTGGTAAAAAGAAGGTCCAAATTAACGGACAACTATCCTAACCAAACTAAGCATACCCAAAATGTCCCCACTCAGAATTAGAGTGTTTGGTTGGATGGAAGGGCAGGGTAAGGAAAAGAAAAGAAAGGATTAGGAGGTTTTTAGAAACCTTTTATAGTTTTATTCCTCTCCCCTCCATTCTTTTCATTCCCTACCCTCTTTTCTAGCCGAACACACCCTTTAGGGTAGAGAGTTTCTCCAGTGAAGTCCCCGACATAACTTAAAATGTGGGAAGTTTGAAGAAGTAAAAACGTTTGAAAAATCATTTTCGACAATATATGAAAAAACATTGAATTAGAAAAAAAGACGTCCAAGGGTGAAAGGAAGTATGTTTAGGGGCTAAAAAACTGTTTGGGTTTAGCCCATAAATACTAGTATGAAATGAAACTTGCTATGGGACATAATCACATAACCTTGTTTTGCAAAACCCCATAAAGCACAGGAAATAAGTTACTTATGGCAAGTTCTGTTTGCATTATTTTATGCTCAAAGTAATATTAATTTCGGACACAATTGGAGATTTCAAGGAATATGCTAGTTTCTTAGGGATCCGAGATATGGGTATGACACCCAATTTCTAGGAATTCCCTCATTCCAGAAATACAAGCAACTCAAAATGAGGCATATTTTCCATACCGGTCCTTAATGTAGATAAGCTTGTTTAAGTAGCAGATATAAGTCATATAAGAATATGCTTACTCAACTCAGTTCCTAATTGAACATTTTAATTGATGGTACATGTGTTGGCCACCAATTCTTGTAGTACAAAATAAAATGGAATGAATAAAGGAATGCGGATGGTGAGAATTTACCTGAAGATGACTCTTTAAATGATATAAGGTTAATCCTTGAATTCCCATTAGCTTCAAAACTGACTTTGGAGTGGCTTCTGCATTAAAGGAATTCTTAGTTGAGCTATTAGAAAAAAGAAAACATCTTTCAGCTGAAAATTGAGTCATTTTCATGCACATACTGTCTGCTCCACCAAGTTGATTAACTGCTTCTATAAACCGCTCGTGCAGGTCTGTCGTCCACTTCAATCTTGGTTTTGCATCAGTTGAAAGGACAAGTCCTGAATCTCCATGGCCATTCCCACCTTGCAGGAACAAATGCCTTTCAGGAGGAACTGACATTCTTGTGGAAGGCTGCATACTCCTTCCTTGATACATGGTTTCTCTTCAATGTGACAACTAGCAAATAAGTGACATGTTGGAAAAAACTAGTACCTCATCTGGCTACATAAATACTTTTAAATATACCTGCAGGCTGCAAGGGATATTAGTTTGCTTGTGCAATCTGTTTTCACCCTTTTATTCTGAATAAAGGGGTCTTCTATACCATGCAAAGTATATTGTGTTTGATGCTGTACTACAGAAAGCTTCTGCAACACCTGTTATCTATTTCTAATGTCTTTGACAATTTTTCACAATACAGAGTTGTGCTCAATGAGGATTTATAAGGATTTGAGGACACCTAGTGGTAGGGGTCCATGCAAGGAATGGAATCTTGTGCAGGCCTTGTGCAAATCTTATGCAGCTACACCCAATTCAATCTTCACAGCAGTACAAAAGGAGATCTTTTCCTTGCAGTTGTGCACATCTGTGGGCCATGGTATACATTTTTTATACTTTAAGCTGCAGCAATTAGCATTTAAGTTTCTGCAATATAAGTCCTAAACATTTAACACCGTACAAATGGTACAAGAATAGATACACCACATGCTTTTTCTTCACATATGTATTCCTTGCCTGAAAAATATTTGGATCCTTTTTAAAGAACATATTTAGAACCTTATTCCCAAGGTTACCATGGAAATTTACTATACATTTTTATGGTTAACGAAGGAATCTACTATCAAAGTCATCTTCTCTTTCCAACAGAAGATTCTTTGGACTGAAGCATGTAGTATATTGCATATATACATATAAGAAAATGAAGTGGTAGAAATATGATCTGGAAATGTTTCTTCTGCTTGAAATTCATCAATAATAAACTAATACATATTTTCTTTTAAAGAGTAATATTGCTATTGTTTTCAGATCATGGTGTATTTTTGCTGCATTACTGCAAAACACCATTTATCTTGAACAGTGTTGTTCCATGAATTATGCATTGATTTTACCATATCAATCATGTAATGGAGCATAAACAATGTATAGCAATCATGTCAGCTCATCCCTATTTGATAATGTTTTCATCATAATGGCGGTTTTAGAATTTTATCTTCTTATGCCTTCATAAGAAGGCCTCAACAAGTAATTTGATGTAAAACTTCACCACTATTGTTTGCATGAACTTGTGGCGTTTGCTTATTGTAGGTCATAAAATAAGACTTTATATTGCATACTATGGACCCCAACATAGTTGGAACTTGGAAAATGCGATAAAGGTGGTGGTGAAATGATGACAATGGCGATCATTTTAGCCTCTGTATAAGTTGCTTAGGTTTCGGTGGACTCAAAAATCTATTGTCTGGTCCAAAAACCCTTGTCACACATCCTGTTTACAGTAGGTATTGGAATGAAGCTCGCATGTTACATCGTGCACTGGCTCTTCACTTCCAGGTATAGTGCATGGTAAATAGATTTGGTGCTAACTTGCTACCACTATATTCACTTAAACTTATGATATATAAGATGAACTAAGTCAACTAAAAACATCACTTTCTCTGTCATAATCTGCCTCCAAAATAATAAATTTTCAGCTTACAAAATGTAATAAGATTTAAATGAAGAATCAAGGTGCTTTTCCGTGGTCTAAGTTGAAAGATAGGAATGGAATATGAATTACATTCCTCATCACCCAACTGTCTGCATGGTAGTTACTCGTCCCGGACAGTAAACTTAGGTAAATTGCTTTAATCCTATTAGAATAATATTGAGACACCTGCAGAATGCAAAGATAAAGGTTGTACTTGCTTCCATTCTTGTGTTCGGTGGAAAGTATGACTTTACCTATCATTGCCGGACATTTTCAATTAACTTAATGTGTATTGTACAGGTCATCCTTACGTGTGGATTACATCACCTTTTTATAACCTAATTTGCTAAACCTGTGAGGTAAACTTAATAACCTAACTCGTTGTCGTGTAAAAAAAACTCTGTAGTATCAAATCTAACACTTGCAAGTTTTTTAATTACTGATTCTATCAGCGAAAATAGAATCTAAAGCATGTACTCCCTCCGTTTCTTAAAACCCTTCCTCTTTCATTTTTTTTGTTTTTCTTAAAACACTTCCCCTTTCTATTAAAAAACCACTTTTACCCCTACTTTTTCATACCCTACCTATCACATCATACTTTTTCACTAACAACTAAACTATCACATCTTACTTTTACCCATCACATCAAGGGCAAATTGGAAAGTCAACTACAATTTAACACTTCCTTATTTTCCCCCAAAGTCAAAAGAGGAACTCTTTTGAGAAACGGAGGTAGTATGTTTTATTTTGAATTGCTATAAGGGGATGCTCTCTTCATTTTCACTCTATCAATATGGTGAATGTGTTAAAGTCCACGCATACTCTCTGTCGTTAGGCCTTCCATAATGCAAATAGTTAGAGAATATCTATAAGGCTCATATTAAATATAAAGAATAATAATCAACTAATACAGAATAAATTCCAGTTGAAACCCATTATATTCATAGATCAAGGACCTAATTCACCTTTTATTTAAACAATTATTCTTGGGACTCTAAAAATCGAAATGAAGCATTTGGAAATTAATTAGAACTTATAAGAATATTTTTCTGACTATGGTAAAATTCCCCTTATTGTGAGATGAATTTGGAAAAAAAATATTAACCTTAGCTCACATTTCAACGTCTTCTCCCTAACCAATAGTTTGATTCTGATACTGTAAAATTATCTCATGCTGTTTGGAGGAATGTCCCACATCCTACTCTTGTGGGACCCAATTGGGTTGTGGTCTTGTGGATGTTGTTTGGAGGAAGGAATCGCTACCTTTAGGGAAGTTTTAAAATATGAACTCATCGTATGGAGCATTTTTTCAAGTATACATGCGAACCGATCTCCCGGACCCTTGTAAATGTGTGAACTTCATTTTGTTGTCTCGCTACAAAAAAAGGGTTTATGTTGGTTTCCTTCTCTTTAATGGTTGTTTATAGAAAACTTGGTTTGGTTCTGTGCCATTATGTTTATCCAAGATGTTAGCCTATTTTATGCCATTGTGCTTATACCATATGTGGAATAAACTTTGCTATAATTATCATTTTACCCTTTGCCCTATCTGTTTCCAAATTTGGACAGATTGGAAGTACTTGAGCTATCCTTTCTTGGGGTCTGTACGGTACAAAGAATACCTGTAAGCTTTTTACTGCTGTTCTATTCCATTTTCTCTTCTTCTTTTTTAACTAGACACTGGTCAATCATTTGCAGAGACAGATGTACGAAGGGCATTGGTTGCAGCATTGGAATGATATTCCCTTGTGGGAGAAAAGAGAATAAAATTGAAGGAGAGGCAGAAGAAGAAAAGCAGAAATTCTAGGGGAATGGAATGTAAGCATCTGAAACTCAACAAAACTAAAGCCATGGGTGGTTTTGTCAAGTCAAGAATTTCTGTTATTCTTTCCTCTTTGAGGCCACCAAAAATGGATTCCTCCCCTTTGATTTTGCTTCTCAACATGAATATAATCAATTTACTTATTCTTCTTTTTGTCATATATGTCTTCTTCCTTATTAAATAAATTTCTTAAAAAAATTATCTCTGCTTATCAGCTACTCCCTCTGTCCCAAATTATTTGCCACATTTGCTTTTTTAACAGTCGCAGGAACTTTTTTTTTATTTCTACATTTTTATTGGTTATTTGATAAAATAAAATATTCTTGACACATATTATTTCGAAGAACTTTTCATGTAGTTTTTTTGATATGTAATTTTTATTTTTTATTTCTTTACTAATATGTAAATAAAATGAATTGAAAAAACTTGATATTTTGTTTCGGTAATAGAAATGTGACAAATAATTTGGGAGGGAGGGAGTAATTAAACCGGTCTAATTTTTGCTAAACATATTTTGTGAACAAGTGTTTTGTACATGCCTCAACATTAGTATTTTGTTCCTGTCATCAGGCTATCATCATTATGATGCCCCAAATAAAACCTAGCTAAAACGATTATTTAAAAGTAAAAAAGGTCAAATATTGACAAGTAGCCAAGTAGGCTTGTCAAGGCCTTGTTCAACCCGACCTTAAAGTATCCAAATCGACTCGAAAAAAATCATTCAAATAAGTTAAATTTTAACCTGGACCAAGTTAGATTGACTTTGATTAAAAAATTTGAACACTTTCAAAGCATAGAGACAGTTTTTTTTACTTAGCTACTTGTGCTGGTGCTGCTTGTGGACCTCTGTGGCACTGCCATGTCGCCGCGTGACCAAAATCGTTAAAAGTCGAATTTGAATACTTCCAACATCGTTACAATGGAAGAGGTAAACTCGGATTTACGAATTTGTAAAAGTGTACATCTGCAATTTGGAATTGGTTTACTGTACAAGTTCAAATTCATGGGATGAATATTAAGATGTTCGAAAAAATAAGTTGAGAGGCATTTTATGAGTTCTAATGCGTTCTTATATTTTATTTGTAAAAATTAAATCTTTCCCAGTATTTGTTTAAATATTTTAGTGTAGAATATTGATTTCCATTATATTGAAGGTGTCATGACGCTATATGGTGAATAATATTTGCGGAAACAGGCATTGAATGACATTCAAAAAATATGCGATTTTGATGAGGTGCATAGATTTCCAGCAATGCGTAGTAGCATTGACTCTGTTAAAGAGTATTCCACATCAGAACTTGTAGAAAAAATAAATTGGTAGATAAACTCTTGAGTTTAACTAAGTAATAGATTGAATTCAATTTTTTAATGTGGTTCAGTCCAAATATCTTATTGTCTAATTCAGTGATCTCTATTCCTGAAGTAGTAATATAAAATAAAAAATGTTATTTTATTATGTTTTTTAGTTTATTCTTATTTTTATTTCGTTATTAATAATTTTTTCTTGTTTTGGGTTCTTACTTTTTCCCCAATTTTCTATTCTTTTCGTTCTAAGTTAAAACGTCAATTTCGATTTATGATGTTTGACTGAAGTTATTTTCAAATCATTTTATATGAAAAATGGTGTGAAATAAAAAAATTAAAATTACATATTTCAAAACTACATCAAAAGATCTACAAAACTAGTTGTGACATGAGTCACATGACTATATTATTTTACCAAATGACTAACGAAAATAAAAATAGAATGAATTTTGGCCTTGCGAATAGTAAACATGCAATTTAATTTGGAACGGAAGAGTATATCATAACAATTAAATTCACCCAAAAAATAAAAAGGCATGAAGTACATGAAAGTAAAGAACAATGAGCAATGCTAGGGGTACACTTTAGTGTACCCCATTTGTGCCCCACCCCCTTCTCCACCACTCATTTTTATCTACTTTTTATTTATTTAATTTTTTTTAAAATTTTTGCCCATTTTTGTGGTAATGGAGGGGGTGAGGGACAAATGGGGTACACCTTTGGTGTACCCCTAGCATTTTTCAGGAACAATACAAGAAACACTAATTGAAATTTCAATTTTTACAAACATGCTCTACTAAATCCGCATTGAGATTGTGTGTTTCTCTATTACGGATTTGGGCTCGTCTTGGAATTCGTTTATCATCGGTGACCTCTCCAACGTTTTCATTCAACTTGATTTAAAAAAGTCAAACTAGACCAAGATATTGGAACAGATGGAGTATTATTTTATACTGCCTCTGTCCTATAATGTTTTTCCCGGTTCTGTTTACGAAGTTTGACCGACTTTATTTTTAATTCAATTTATTTGATTGTATGTGTAAAATTAAAAAATAAAATTTATATATTTTAAAACTACATCAAAAGTTCTACAAAACAAGTGGTGACAAGACTATATTATTTTATCAAATACCCAATGAAAATAGGTAAAGAAAGTGATTAATGTTTGACCGTGTGAATAGTAATTGGGAAAAACATTTCAGGACGGAGGTAGTAAAAGATAGAATTTAAATAGAATAGAAGTAAATACTTAAAAAAATTAAAAGTATAATTATTACCGTGGATGTGAGGCACTATAAATGTAAATGAGTGAGATGATGAATATTATCTTCCGCTGCGCGGCTGAATCTCCACCTTCGGGCCCGCCGAAGATCATTCCAATATGCTCTTTCTCAGGAGGAGGTTGTTGCTCCCTCTGCCGGTTGTTCCTCCGCCGGTCATTATCCCGGTCATTCCCCTAGGCTGCAGGCCTGATCCATTGATGGCTCTTCTCTTGGGCTTTTTGCAAATAATCTTTGCCCAGCTCCCCGTTGTCTATCATTTTCCGGATGACTCCCTTAACACTCTTGCATTCGGAAGTGTTATGGGAATCTGACCTATGGTATGAACAATAGGTGCCCGACCATTGCCGTCCTGTTTGACCGGTTCAGATTCCCCCTTCTCAGGGAAGACTTGAACGGGAGGGGGGGGGGGGGGGGGGGGGTGAGCTAAGGCCTTCCCGGGATGGTAGAAATCAAAGGGCCATTAAAAGACTTAACCACCCGGAAGAGGGGGCCCTGGAAGAAGGGTGCATTTGAACCTTGGAGAGGGTTCGAAACCATTCGACATGGTTAAATCTCTAGTATTCTTACCGGTTAAGGATACTTCAAGAAATTACAAGGTTACAGGTGCTTCCATCTACAACCTACCGGTAAAAAAAGGAATACCCTGGTTGGGTATTGATACAGCGAAACTCTTTGAAAATTCTACGAGGCGAAGCATTTGACCGGTCAGACCGCGGAGCGGGAACCTACCGGTCCAACTGTACTTGATCGAAGAATTTGTAAACTGCCGAAAGGAAGGTATCCAAAAGCGAAAGTCGAAGTTCAACCAGTCAAGGTTTGATCTTCAAGGTAAAGACATCTAAGAACAAGAGTTGAAATTCTACCGGCATATGTTTATCAGATGGCATGTGTACTGGTAAAAGTATTCATGAAGACATTTAAGGAGCAAAAGCAAAGTATCAATTAAGAAACAAGCAAAAGAGCAGAGATAACCAGTACGAAAATTAAACATGGCATTTGAAAGGGGAAAATTAAATGTCAAATGTTTACAAAGTACACCGGGCATACCCGGGCAAATAAAGATGTTCCAAACATTACAAGAGATAACCAGTCGCAGCCGGGGAGATCAGTCAAGAGAGAATGGGGGAGAAGGCTCTTAATCTGGTATGGGGGCCAGGCCGTATGATTCCGCATTGAAGTTCGGATCCCGGTTAGCCAATATCTCATGCGTGGCTTCCCGGTCTCTTTTCTGACCAGACATGAAACCATAGGAGTCGATCTGAGTGATCATTTCTTTTCCGTGCTCCTCCCGGTATAGCAGCTTGAAGCCCTCCATGGTCCTTTCTTCAGAAGAAGTAAGCACCCGAGCAGCTTCAACCAAGTTCTCCTCCACCCATTGCTTGGCTCGACCGCGCAGCTCTTCTTCCTTCAGCTTCACCTCCTCCTTCAGGTGGGAAACCTCCCCCATCAGCTGAGTGTTCTGCTCCTTCAGCTGGAGGATCTCTGCGTTCGCCCTCCCGGCAATCGCTGAGAGGTTGGCTATCTCATCTAGTTGTCGGGCTGTCAGGTCTTGAAGCTCCCGGTTATGGGCCAACCTCGCGCATCTGTGAAACAAAAATATACCGGTTAGTGCGATAGGCAAGTAGCAAATTCAAGAAAATGTACCGGACAAGTATTACCTCCTTCAGCTTTTGCCCCATCTTGACCCAGAGCTCCTCTAACGACTCTATGGCCGGGGCGTTTTCTCCCTTCCTCTTCTTCGCCGCTGGATGAGAAGTGGCAGCTTTCTTCGTCCTCGTCTTCCCTTCCCCCTTGTTAGGGGGAGGATTCGCCTCAGTCTTCCCAGTCTGGGTAGCCTCCCCGGTCTGGGGAGTTTCCTCCTCAGAGTGGATCTCCACCGTCTCATGTCGGACTGGAACAGTCCTCACAGAAGAAGTGTGTGGGCCGGCAGAAGAAGATGCACCGGTCTTCTTCGGGATGGTGAAAGATCTGAAGTTCATGTCTGCAAAACAAGCGAGAAATGTTAAGTCCTACGAACTACACCGGTACAAGTAAAGAAAAAAAGATAGTATCGAAAGATACCTGGGTGACTTTGGTCCTCGGCCTATGCAGTGTTGCCCGGGGAGGGTACCCCGTGCCCCGCTGCCTCCTGGGCTTGGGAGGTACCCTCGCCACCCGGTTAGATCCTCCATACCCAGCTGCCGTAGTGGTATTTTTGACCGGTAAGAGGATCCCCCCTTAGGAGCTTCTCCAAACTCTCCTCCAAGTCCGGAGTAGACGCCGGTTCGGTATATTCCTGTTTGAGGAGGTTGTCGCTCCACCTCAAACCGACTAGAGGAGTGACAGAGGGGGGGAATCTTATAAAAACGAATTTTTCCTTCCACAACCGGTTGCTTTGTGGAAGGTCAGAGATGAATTTGCGATTATTCCGCCCCTTGAAGTAAACAAAACCTTCGCAGCCAGGTTTCCCGGGGCGAACCTCAAAGACGTAGAGAAAAAGACGCATGGAGGGATCGATGCGGAGGTGGTGGCAGATATTAACAAAAGAATTGAGCAACCGGTGAGCGTTGGGTGTAATCTGCCCGGGAAGAATCCTAAAGCAGTGACATAGCTCAACCAAGAGGGGGCGAAGAGGAAAAGGGATACCACCCTCTAAAGAAGTGATATGAAAACCTATCCTATCCTCCTGGTGAGGTTCGATAATATTGGGCCAGTTCTCATCATACTCGAGAACATACCCCTCCGGGAGATTCCTACGGGCTTTGTTCAAAGCTATTTTGGAAACGTGGGGGTAGATGTCTGAAACGTAAAAAGTGGGAAGATGAGAGTAACCGGATGCCTCCAACCTTTCCTCCCACTACAGCCAGGACTCAGTGTCTGGGTCATAGGGAGCTGGTTGGCCGTCAACCGGTTCGTCCCCCTCCATAGACACTTGACCGGGCATTTGATTGATCGGATCCGGCTCAGGGACAAAAGGATTGGGGACCGGTCGGGGTTCGAAATCGGATGAATAGTACCCGGTGGAAGAAGAGGAGGTAGAATCCTCAGATGAGGAGTCATCTGAGGACGAAATCCTATGACTACCTAGAGAAGACATGACCGTGAAAAGAAATAGAAGAAAGAGGGGGAGCTTACTTGGCTCGGAGGGCGGGAAGGCTAGAACCGGGAACTTGACCGGTGGAACTCAGAAGAATTGCGCGAGAGAAAGTGAAGGAATGAATGGGCTGAAGGTCTTTATATAGGCAAAGGAAAATTGGAAAAGGGCGACGTGGCCTGCTCGTAACGCGCCGCGTCAGGCGGCGCCATCATTGCGCCTGGGAATACGAAAGGACGCACGCCTAACCGCGCTCAGTAGGCAACACGTGTCAAACCGACACTTTTTAAATTTCGAATTTGAAAATTTCAAGCGGGAAAGGACAAAAATTCAAATTTTGAACCCATTTCTCAAATTTTTACTTCCCGCCCATGATATTTTACATGGCCGAGAAGTGGAGGGCTTATTGATGGGTGTAATCCACCCAGAACCGGTCAAAAGAAATGTCCGAATGTTTGACCGGTCAAATTGGTTATCCCTGAGAGAAAGACTCGAATCGTCAGTAAAAGGATAACAGGTTGACCGGTATACTTCAAATAGGTATACCGGTCAAACTATTCTATCGTCTAATTCATCTCCCAAAGTCAGTTAATCCAACCCTCAAGAACTACCCGGTATAGTTTCCGAGGATTAGAAGGTGTTGGCAGGAAGAATCCAAAGGAACTTGGACTATAGTGACTAGTATCACTTGAAGATCAAGGGAGATGCTGAAGGAATCTGTCCAAGCCAGTACGCGACAAGGGCACAGTCTCCCTCGCAAGATGACGAAGCAGCAAGAGGACGAAGGCCATCACCTCCCACCATCCGAGAACGTGCCTCCACGTGGGTGCATGACGTCCTGTCCCCCTAAAACTTAGTATAAATACTGCTGTAATCCTCAAAAGGAGGGATGTGAATTCATTCTCTCTAAACTCCCTTGTAAAAGCACACGTGCATTCTCTCATTAATATCAATAAGGTAACAGGTGTTTCCACTTACAATCTTATCGGTCACTTTGCGTGTTTTTACCTTTTTACTTCTCGAATCAAGTAAACAATCCTAGACCCGGTCTAGAATAGTTTACCCGGTTAGGTAATTTACACCATCAGATGTGATCTTGAGAGGCTACTGATTTAGAGAAATCAGTGGTGGAGTGCTATAGATAACCTTATTAATTTTAGGTACAAATATCAAATGACGTGGCCAAAGATAAGCTCAACCCATTAAATAGTTAAAACATGTACAACCTAAATTGAGGAATTTCTAGAATAAGTCGAACAATATTTTGCATTAGTCATTAGTGGATTTTTTTTTAAAATAATGGCAGTAATGTTTTTTATTGCTTATTTGCATAAAATATTCAATGTCGTAATTAAGTGTCTAAAGTCATTGTGTGTCATCCCAAATCCAATCACTTTGTATCATGAATGAACTTTCATTAACCCAATCCCGATACTACCAAACTTAGGGGTGTAAATGGATAACCGAAAATCCGATTACCGTCCGCATCTGTATTCGTTTAAATGTAAAAAATCCGCATTCGTTTTAAACGGATATTATCCGTATTTGATTAAGCACATCCGATTGATAAACGGATGCGGATTTGGTAATTACAGATCCGATCCGTTTAAAATCCGATCCGTGTTTACATCCGTTTATATCACCGCATATCCGATTATCCGATCCGTTATACTGAATATAGGTAATAAAAAATTATCCATAGTAAAAAAAATCCGTAGTTTAGACTAATTAATATTTTTATGTATACTCCTAGTTTTCTAATTTCTTCTCAGCCCACTAAGCCTAAATGGCCGAAAACCACTATTGAGACTTGAGTATTGATTAAACCTAAATACATCTTAATGCGGAGCATTTTTTTTTCAGAACCAGCATCCAGGCTCCAGCGACAGAGTGACCAACTGACCTAGTGTCTTCCTCAGCTATTTTCCGAATCCAGCGACCATTTCAACTACGGCTTCAGCTCAGCACTTCAATCCTTAGCATCATCATCTACTCTATTGTTTGATTTTAGGTACGAACTCTCAATTATGCTTTTATTTTTTCCTTTAATTTTAGAATCAACGCCTCTCTGAAAATCGCCACTATGAAATCGGCACTAAGAAAATTAAATCGCCATTGTTGTTGTAGTCAAATTGTTCATTTGATTTTAGAATAAGCGCTACTATGAAAAAAAGAAATTGCCACTACTGTTGTACTCCAATTGTTCCTTTGATTTTTTTCTTTTTTTTGTTACTGAATTTGAATTCAAAAAACTAAATGCATTTTGTTTGTTTTTTTGGAAATGTCGTCCCACTACTGTTTTCTTGTTTACTAATTTGAATTCGAAAAACTAAATGCATTTTGTTACTTCAATTGCCACTACTGTTTTTTTGTACAAGTTGACTGTTTTCCTCTTTGTTTTATGCAGTATCTCTTTTTGGATGATTAGTTTTCAATATATTATAGTCTCCTTGTCCCAAAACTGTTAAGTTTAAGAACTCAACATTGTATTTAATTTTTTTTGTAGAAAAATGGCAGAACAAAATCAGCAAAGCATCGAAGCTTCTTCACAATCAACTGCAAATAATAGTTCAATCCCTACTGAATCACTTGTTTCAGAACAAGATACCCAAGCAAATGCAAAGAAAAGAAAGTTGACCTCACAGGTATGGGACTTTTTTTACAAGGGAGTGTATTGGAGGTGCAGGTAAAGTTGTTGCAACTTGCAAGGATTGTAAAAGAAAATTTGATGGATCAAGTAAGGCCGGTACGACTCACTTAAAAATCATCATAATGTTTGTCCTCTCAAAGCTAACTCGGGTGATATTAAGCAAGCTTTTATTGGAAAATCTATTGAAAATGCCAATCTCTCTAATAAGATCAAAACACACAAGTTTGATCCAAAGGTTGAAAGGATTTTGTTTGCTAAAATGATTGCCAAACATGATTTGCCTTTTCTTATGTCCCATTATGAGTACTTTAGACATTGGATTTCATATTGCATGCCTTCTTATAAGTTTCGATCAAGGACTAGAGTGAAGAATGATTTGATGGAAGTTTATAATGAAGAAAAAGCACTAATGTACGATGTTGTTGGAAACTTAACTTCACGAGTGACTCTTACAACTGATGGGTGGACATCGGATCATCAAAATCGGGGGTATTTTTGTCTAACTTCTCATTTTATTGATTCTGATTGGAAATTGCAAAGTAAATTGCTTGCTTTTCATGTTGTTGAATATCCGCATAGTGGGTTGCGTTTATGTGAATGGTTGAAAAATCGTATTCTTGAATGGAATATTGATAAGAAGTTATTTTCTGTTGTTGTGGATAATGCCTCACAAAACTCTGGAATGTTGGATGGCATTAGGGATTGGTTAAATGGGAAGGGTGCACTTGTTCATAATGGAGAATTGTTTCATATTCGTTGTTCAGCACACATCATGAATTTGATTGTAAAAAAAGGGTTGGATGTGATTAATGGATTGATTGTAAAGATTCGTGATAGTGTCAAATATGTTAATGGGTCAGTGCAAAGAGAGGAAAAGTTTTCTTTTGCATTGGTACAGACACGACTTAACCCAAAGAGACGGGTAAGTTTGGAGTGTGATACTAGATGGAATTCTACGTATGATATGCTTATGAATGCACTTGACCTCAAAGAAGCATTTAAGCGTTTGGCTGAATTAGATACTAGTTACAAATACTTGCCATCGGAAGAGGAGTGGGAAATTGGTGCAAAGATTTGCAGGCATTTGAAGATTTTTAAAAATGCAACAGAAGCACTTTCAGGGAGTAAGTATCCAACTGCCCCCCTTTACTTTACTTTTGTTTGTCAGATAAGAGAGTGCTTGAAGCAGTGGAGTGATAGTACTTATCCGGATATTTCAACAATGGCACTTTTGATGCAAACAAAGTTTGATAAATATTGGGATGAATGTAGTATGGTGTTGACGATTGCTTCAATTCTTGTTCCTAGATATAAAATGACACTTGTTAAAGCTGCTTTTGGGGATAGCGATAATGATAATCCAGACAGTTATGTATGCAAAGTGCAAACTTTTTGGAATGCTTTGTTTGTAGAGTATGATGATCCGGTCCGTTCTGATGATGGGGGTATTGCCATGTCTGATTCTTCTTGTCGCATTGAGAACTTATCAAGTAGTGAGATTGAGTTTCCTCTTTTAACTAGGTTCAAAGAGCTTGCTGCCCTGTCTAGTTCCACTTCCATTAAGAAAAAAACTGAGATTGAGTTGTATCTTGAGGAGGGTTTAGTGTGTGAACAAGACAATCCATTTGATGTTTTGAATTGGTGGAAACATAATGGTGGCAGGTACCCGATTCTCTCAAAGATAGCCCGTGATATATTAGCAATTCTATGTACCACGGTTCCTTCAGAGTCCACTTTTAGTCGAGCTCGTAGGGTTATTGATGATACACGTGCCTCACTTAACTCTTACACAGTTGAGGCTTTACTTTGTGTGAAAGATTGGTTGCCAAGTATTGAAGGGGAAGGTTAGTATCATTTTTTATTTAATAAATATTTATTTACCAAATAAATAATATAAGGATATAAGTTTTTCTTCTTTAATTATACTACGTATCAACTCTTACTTTAATAGATGACGAGTGAAGCTAATCCATTGGACCTTGTTGTGGCATGAATCACGTTTAAGGTAAACTCCTTTTGGTATCACTTTGTATAATTGAGATATTTCTTTGGTTAATTCTCAAAGGTAAACTTCTTTTGGTATCACATCTAAAGCATTTCAATTTTTGTAATATGTAATATCAATGTTATTGCATAGACCAAATAAAGTATTTATTTATTTCTAATATGAAATGTTTCAATTTTTTGTAGGGTATCCTGAAGAGATGCTTTCCATGGAATTCAAGAATGATGATTTATGTAAACATTAATGATGTGATTTAACTGATTTTACTTTTTGGTTACAAATTTAGATTTCATGTTTTCTAATTTTTGTTGCTTGTTACAAGGTCAAATCTTTTTGTTGTTTATGTTGTAGATTAAGAAACTTGGTTAAGGATTTAAAGTTTTTGGTTGTGCTTGGTTGATTTTAGATTTTCAGATTACATAATCGGATATTTAGACGGATTTTTTTTTCCAGATACGGATACGGTTTTACCGAATCTAGAAACGGATGTTTTACCGAATCTAGAAACGGATTTAGATTCGGATTTTTTTACTAGTCAGATGCTTCGTCGGATGCGGATATATCCGAATCCGCATCCGTATCCGCCGGATTTGGATTCGGATTTAATATAGTAGACATCCGCCGGATACAGATTCGGATTCGGATAACGGTTTTGCTAATCGGATTCGGATACGGTTATAATACATCCGAAACGGATATTATCCGTTTACACCCCTAACCAAACTCAAACGGACCTCACTAATGATTTTACTAGCTCTACATGATGCACATAAATTTGTAATTCATTACCTTGAACATTTTTTTTGGTATAGTACCTTGATCAGTTAATAATCCATTTACATTTTTAGGCGTTATTTTTACATTTTTATGTCTCTTTTACCACATTAATCTTTATTCATTACTTAATCTTGTTGGAAAATATTGATTAAATATTCAAAAAGAAAGAAAAGAAAAATAAAAAAAGAAGAAAAAAGTACCCCGTAGCAAAGAAAGGAATTAAAGGAAGATGCATGACATGTGATGATAATCCTAAGATGCATGCATGTGTAGATCTTTTGATTGAAGGAAATCAAGTTGATTTCCCCATTTTTAGACTTTTATGATGGGTTGTTGGCTAATGGCATTGTTTTCACGGTTTATTTTGGCTATAAAAGCCATGGTTGTCTTAGAGAGAGTGTGCGTGTGGGTTTTACACACCACCAAGGTAGAGAGAGGAAATGGGAGGAATTTTACACAAGAATACCACCGAGAAAATCTAAGGAGTCTTGGTGAGTGTGGTAAGTGTAGGGAGTAACTGGTTTTAGTTACTCGGAAAAATACATCTGTTAGAATAAAGGCCCAATGCTAGAGGGGGGGTGAATAGCGTTTAAAACAAAATCGCAGGAAATTAAAACGAGAGCATTAAAGTAAAGAGCGTAAGGAAGGAGCACACCGGATTTTATCTTGGTTCACCACAACGTGTGGCTAATCCAGCCCCCCGAGAGACTCTCTCGAGCTACACTGACTCCATTAAGCTTAAGGGTGCTTAACAAACCGATAAAACTTGAGAACCCGAGTCACACGAGCCTCAACACCTTTACTCGGAGATACCGCAGTCCAAGACTTCTCACGAAGGAACAAGGAACTTCCTTCGAGTTTACAACAAGGGAACAAACTCCCTTAAAGTGTATGAAAACACTTAAACACTCAGGAATAAAACTCTCACAAAGAGTAGATATGAGTGAACTAGTAAACGCTCAAGAACACGACAATTTCTTCAAGAATTGACTCTCAAATAGCTAAGAAAAATAGGAATGCTTATGCAATGAAAGAGTATTGAAATGTTGAAGAATTGTGTGTTAAAAGAGAGGATTTGGGTGCCATTTTATAGCCCAAAATGGGATAAACCCGTTGCTAGAATTTCCAACAGGATGAAGACAAATTTTTCAGGGACACAGGCTGATAGTCGATTGTCAAACCATGATAATCGATTATCCAAAGATTCCCTGTCCAAAAATTTAAAATTCTATCCGTTGGAGGACAACGGTAACCCAGATAATCGATTGTCAACAAGTGATAATCGATTATTGGTCCTCTC